AGAGAACACCCGTAACAGCTCGGGAAAAAGGAAAGCCTGCCTGTGCCTCTTCCAGTCCTGACAGACGTCTGAACGACGCTTTCCTGGGACGTGCTCTGTGCTCCCTCTCCACGAACCCACAGGCAACCTCACCCCAGTTTGTATCACTGGCTCCAGCTCCACCCCGGCACTGGGACATGACCTGCCACCTCTTCCCGTCCCCACTTCTGCGAGAGACTGTGTCCCGAGCTCCAGAGAAGGGAGGAGGAGGGGATACACCACCACCCTGCCACAGCCCTTTCAGGTCATTTAAAGCTGATCAACATGGTGAGAGCGTGAAACCTTCCAAGTGAGCTACCCTAAAGGACTGGTCCTACAAGGGGAGTGCAAAAAAAGGCTTTAGGGAAGTTGGACAGCATGCCTGAAGGCATCCATGATCCCTAAAACGATCCCACTGCCAAAGGAGCCACTGTACCTGGGATGTAATTAATAAAGGAATATCTTACAGCTTTCCCCCAGCCTCCTACTGGCTTCCTCCCGTCCCCTGCCTGCCTGCGGACCCGCAGGGCGGACGGCGGCGCCCCGCCGGCACAGCCACCCCTGCGGCGCTGGCCCCGCCAGCAGCCTGGCACGAGCTCTCACTGCTGCACGAGGCGGGGGAAAGCAGAGCCAAGCAGCACATTCCTGGCATGCTGCAAAAGCTCTCTACCGAGCCTAACCTTCATGTTTTTCCTGGAATTAGGAGTGAAACGGGGAGCCAACACTCGCTCTGGAGGAGCTCTGGAGAGGCAGAGGGCACGACGCAGCGGGAGAGCGAAGGCAGAGCATCGCCCCGCGGGAGCCGTGCCGGCAAGGGCAGGGGCACAGGGGGACCCCACGTGCTTGCACCCGGCAAAAACGAAGCTAAAAATACATCTCGCTGCTTATTCCTTAACCCTTTGTTTCACCACAAGCCCAGCCTGTTACCAGCTCAGACAGACCTGGCTCTGCAGAGCAAACCTGCTGCAGATGGAGGGTCCTGGGGCTCCCTGACTGCCCGGCTCGCAGGAGGTTTCAGACACCACGTGGGACAACCTCTCCCCCTCCCTGCCCGGCACCTCCCCTTGGCTGCTCAGGGCCCGTGGTGATGGCACCGTGGACCAGATGTGGTACAAAGCACAGCATTCCCGGTGCTCCCGGCTTCCCTCTGATGGGAAGCGTTGCACCAAGGGAGTCGGTGCCATTTGGCTGTGATTTAGTGTTTAAGTGTTGCGACGAGGCAGTAGCTACCAGAGCAGAGCTCAGGTCACCTTACCATCATGGACCTCTCCAGCTCGACCTCCTGGAGCAGCTCGGCAAACTCCTTAAAGGACTCAGCTGTAAAGAGAAGAAGAGGCTGGTGAGCGGAGCTGGGATATGGCACTGGAGCATGGGACACAACGCGGGGTGCCCGAATCTGGCTGCACTCCCGGCCCTGCCATCTAAAGGCTTGCCAAAAAACAGAGAAGAGGTGGCTCCTTTGGGCAGAAACCGAGTGAGGCAAGGCCATTGGTAAGGCTGGCCATGAGGGGTATTTATTTACACGCTGGAGAGGAGGGCCTCCTGCCTGGGAGATGTGGGAGATGACGCATTCCCTGGGAAGGGAAGAGCACGTTAATTAGCTTTCATTAGGAATCGTACTGCAAAGCCAGCAAGGCAGGCAGCAGGGAAGGGGCAGCGAGCCCGAGCTGGAAAGAGCTGCAGGTGCTTTCTAGGACCAAGACAAGTCTGTAACCTGCTGGACAAAGATTAGGTTCAGCGACAAGGAGCACAAAGTCCATGTACCTGCGAGGGAAAGGTGTAGAAATGGTCACAGACACTGTCAACACTCCCCAAAACATTAAAAATTCAACAGAAAGATCTCATTGATCAGCACTTTTCCTGGAGTCCAACGACAAGAAAAATAATATGAAACCTTCCCTTTAACAAACTGGACCAACAAGGTTTATTTAGCCCAGGGAAAAAAGAGATTGGGTGGGTCTGAGTCTCCCCACCCTGTGAGGGAACACTCAGCCCTTCTCTCTGCCCCCCGAAGGAGAATGCGGGAGGGGCTGAATTTGCAGCAGGGGGAAAACCTCCCTCCCCAGCGGGGCACTAACAGGGCTGAGAGGAGCAGCACTGCGGAAGGCTCGGTGCTGCGGGCGGCTGCAAGGCAAGGCTGGGCAAACACCCGCCTGCGCGCAGAGCGAGGGTGCGTGCGGGATGCCTGCGGGGAATAACCCGATTGCCCCAGTGTACCTGGGAACCACCCGGGAGTTAGCTGGGAAAGGTTCCCCGTGCCACCCATCACCTTCCAGCTGCGGGAGCAGCGCCCTGCTCAGAGCAGTGCTGGGGCCAGGTCCTTCCACTGCCGTGAGCCAAGTACAGGATGGCTTTGCAAGAGCTACAGTAGTTCCTGTGCTTGTTCAGACTCACTGCGAAGCACGCAGAGGCACTCGACTGCTGCCGAGCAATTTAAAGACTGTCTGACAATGAAGCAAAGAACCCCAGAAGCGCCTGGCTGACACCAGAGGTCTTGAGCCAGGCGGCATCCAGAGCTCTGGCGTGCCTGGCTTGCAGGGGTAACACACGAGGGAACATGTCAGGCGTACAGCGAGGCACGTACAGCAACAGCTCATCCCACAGGTCAGGGGAGAGGATGCATTTGTGCTCTATCTGCAAGCTAAGCGCCCTCTCCCCGCATCCACAGGCGGGACCTTAGGAGAAGTGCCCGTCCTTCTGCTAAAACCCAGCCGGAACGCTGCTGCACAGCCGGTGAGGACGCGTTTCCAGCGTTAGAGCACTCTGCAGTTGCTGAGGCAGCCACAAAAGGGAAAAACCACTGCCTCGTGACACAGTCCCTCAGCTGGCATCATCAAAACATAACCTTCTTGATGAGTCAGTAACTTCTGAGTTCTCTTCCAGAGCGAGGGCTTCAGAGCCCGGCACATGCAATGCCCTAATGGTTTATTGCGCTCAACCGCAGGGCCGACACGCTCACTTCCACTGTGGTTACTCAGGACAACGTGAAACCTGAAGTGTGTGCAGACGCTGGGAGCCTGAGCCAGGAAAGGAATTATCATGGAGAGAAAGAGAATCCAGCCCTGAACTTACAGGGAAAATGTTGGTGCCTAAGTTTTCACTTGGTGTCTTTTTGTCTCGCTCTACAGAAGAGTCCAGGCACGCATTTCCCGGCCGCAGAGCAACCCACAGAGTTTGTCCCTGCACCACAACGCCCGGCTCAGGCTGCACCCGGCTGCCTGGCTGGTGGTGC